AGACGGTGGAGGAAGGAAAAAGGAGGAGAAGAAGAGAAGAAGCGACAAGAGGGAAGGAGAGCCGAGAGGAGGCGATTACAGTATTTCCTGTATTGGCAAGCAGCGGATAATACTGTGCACATATAACAGCACAGGGAGAGAAGGAAGGGATACGTAGGAGAGAAGGAGCGAGGAAATAGAGAGGCAGAGGAGAAAAGGAGGAGAGGGAGGACGACAAAAGGAGAGGGACATGGACAGGAAGGGAGGGAAGACCAAATAGAGGGAGGAGATGAATTACTATTGTAAGGTAAGAACCCAAAGATGACACACACACGTAAGATCATCGAGATAAATTGTAGACAAAGAACAAGAAGAGCGACAAGATTTGAAAAAGAAGGAGAGAAGAGGAAGAGCTACTCATTACTGTGTCTTCAACGCGCACAAGGAGCCCTCATCTCTTTCTTCTGAACTCGGCCTCGATAGTCCTCTTGCGCTGCTGACATTACTCCATCGCGTTGCGATCTGGTCCACCCTAAATGCGCCGGTTAGTTGGGGAGTAATCCTCTCCGCTCACAATCCGCCTACGCGGCTTCCATCCACCCTAAATGCTTCTTGAACTCGATTTCGCGGCTAACATCCGCCTACGCGGCTCCTTTCTTGTCAGGCATGTTACGCCACGGGCCCGTCTCGACTCCCTACCGTCTTCCCCCGAACACAAAGCACCCTGGTAATGCATGTATACAAGCTATCCTTCGGGTCCGGTGCAGCCAACATGACGGTGCGTTGTGTCCCGGAGGAAGACGGTAGGTGTCGTCGTTACATAGCGACGGATTGAGAGAGGGACGGGGGAAGGTGGCGTCAAAGCGGGACAGGAATAAACAGGGGAAAAAGAGGGAGAGAGAGAGACAGGAAAGAAAGGGAGAGTGAGGGCGAGAGGAGAGGAGAGAGATAGAAAGAGAGATAGAGAGTGGAGGGGAGGAGGCGGAAGGTCAGTGAACGGAAGAGGAGTACGGGAGAAAGAGGGAGAGAGAGAGAGAGAGGGAGACACTGGAAAGGAAGGACGAGAAAGGGCGAGAGAAGGGGAAAGAGAGGGATAAGAAGGGAGGGAGGAGAGAGCATAGAAGGAGCCACGACATTGGCCAAGAAGACGACAACACCGAGTCGTTTAGGGAGAAGAGGAAGGAGGAGAGCGACGCCGTGACTACTTACCCGCCATCGTCGTGATGAGCGCCCTTTCGCCCGTAGACAACAGCCGAAATGCATACCCCGCCCTTTCGCCCGTAGACAACAGCTGGAACGCATACGCGCGCCCTTTCGCCCGTAGGCAACAGCCGAAACACATACGGCGGGCTACAGTCAGTATCAGTAGATGCAGCGACAAGGCGACAAGGCGCCAAGGCGCCAAGCCACATTCGAATTCGAATACTCCGAAACTCGCGCGCCCTGAAAACAAACTACCGACACCGAAAAAAAACAAATAATATGTAATATAACAAGCAAAAAAAAACAAAAAGTGAGAGAAAAAGAAACGGACCAACAACGCCTGCTGCTCTACCAACGGGCCTACCGCCGGTAGCTTTGTTGGCACAACCAAATGAAGTGCTGAGTTCGAGGGCTAGGTCCCACTTGCACGAACGAATTAAGAGATACTGACCGTTGATAGCAAAGATCAACGGCCAAAATCTCCTAATTTGCGCAAGTGGTGGGACCTTGCCCCGAGTCCGGCGGAAACGAGATTGAAATTCTCGGATTACCTTGCCGAAACAAAAAGAAAAGAAATAAAAGAGATCTCGCTACTCTCCAACTCGAACTGGCATCGGCGCGGGGCAGAGTACTGCTAAAACCGGCCTACCTCATCGCATTCGCGCAATCGGACCCCAAAAGTTTTTTTTGTTTTTTGTTTTTTGTTTTTCCCCCAATAGTTTCGACTGACCTCTGAACGAAATTGTGGTCAGACGCCATCAGGGGGTTTCCAAAAACAACAAAACAATTGTGGTCAGATGCCATCAGGGTTTGCTGTAATGGCGGTAAAATACATCCAACAAAGTCCCACTGTCAATCTGCTATCAGAAAAGACCGTTCGCAGAGCGGATCCGGCGCCGCCCGCCACATGTGGAGGCGAAGGACGGGGACGCGTTAAAACTTCCGGACTGTTCGATCGGCTTGGTTGGCAGATCGAACGGCAGCGAAGTACCGGGACCTAAGTCCGTCGACATCAGGTCAGGGACAAGTTCCCATTCGCCGGAATTCTTCCCGCTGGACGGCAGGCCCAGCGGATCAAGGGCCAGAAAGCGGATCAAGAATTCTTGTAGATGGGACCTTGGCCCCGGCTGTGCGATCCCACACTTACAACATGCCTTTCTTGGATATCTTTGAGCAGAATTACCGCCAGAATCAGAGCATGCTCACGCTGGGAATGTCCTGGACGTATCGGACTGCAATCACAGACAGTGCTGCACGTACTTACCGAAGTTGCGGGAGACCCATTGGGGAATCCCCGGAGACCCAATTGGGAATCCCCGACAGAAATGCGGGAGGAAAGTGACATCTGGGCAGCTACTACGGTCTCCCTTACACAGTCTGACAGACTCCTGCTAGACAGACCCCTTACACTGGAGGAGATAACAGAAGCTAGGGCTCGGACCCCACCGCCCGGCAGCTGGAAAAGGGAAGTGGCCGTGAAAAGCTGGCTACCGTCCCTGGAAAGTTTTTGGCAGTTTTGGAAGCGACCACACCGCCAAGTGCTGGCGGTGTTTTGGAAGCGGGCTGGCTTTCCGCAATAGGAAACCCGGTAGGGGCCCGTCCTGAAAAGGAAAGTGCGGACGGCCTGCATGGACCAGCGGACATGTCCTCGCATATGGATTGTCCGTTGGGGGGGTTGCGGCGCATGCCGTACACGCCAGCGAGCGACGGAGCGCGGAGTCCCAGTGCGACGTCACAAACAGAAGGAGGTTCCGGATGAGGCAACAGCCATTTTTGTTCGTGCCGTTGCCGGTCACCTGCCCAGATAAGATTGAAAACGGACGTTGGGTCTATGGGTATGTTGTCGGTCCTGTTCTCTCTGCAGTCGTTGGCACCCGGGGGAGATTGCAGAGCACCTGCCCGTGGCACTCGCCATTCCCCTGCGGACAGTGGGGTTCCATAGCTGACGGAGACGGTTGCTGTGTCACCGACTCAGTGGACACGTCACACGTTGTGCCCGGATGGAAGCCATGGATGCGTCAGGAGGAGGTGTGCGGCATCCTCACAGCGAGGATGCATTGGTCATGCTGGTTCTCTTCCTGTTCCAGTGGGTGAACAGACGGAACGCAGCAGCGTTGGCGGTTGTGGAGGCAGTATCGGTGATGCCTTTCCTCTTTCCTCCACCAAAATGTCTCCGCTGCGGTGACACTCCTAGCGGGGGGGATCTTGCACGGTTTTGCGTTGGGTTCGTTGGCTATGGAGGAGATGGGGAGGACAATGGACCGCAGACGTCGTCTGTGGGTGTTGGAGCGCAGCGGCGGTGTGTGGAAGGACCTCCGGCGAGTGGGGGGTGAGCATGACAAGGTATTTGTGTGGTTTTGCAGACTCCCACGCCCGTTGTTCTTCGAAGTTCTCGCTCGCATCAGCCCGCACATCCAACGCTCGACCACGAACTTCAGACAGCCAATACCCGCCGGACAGAAGTTCGCATGTGCTCTGATGAGATGGGCAACTGGCGGATATTACAGGCAGTCCTCCCATAGTTTGGGCATGGGCCTCGCGAGTGATTTGCGCAGCAATGAGGACGTGGCAGACGCCCTAATCCGGGAGTACGGGCACCTGCTACGCTTCCCTACAGGACAACGGCTAGATGACGTGCAGAACGGCTTCGAGCGAAAAGGGTTCCCCGGGTGTGTGGGCGCAATAGATTGCACCCATCTATATATAGAGAAGCCGAAGGGAGAGCGATCGGAGTGCTATTATCACCACACTGGGGGGGGTTCGGTTGTTGCACAAGTAGTGTGCGACCACGAGTGTCGGATTTGTTGCGTTTATGTGGGATGCCCGGGGTCTGTGCATGATTCCAGAGTTGTGCGCATGTCGCCACTCTACGTACAGGCTACGTCGGGTACAAGAGTGTTGGCTGAGGGGGGTGCCATGCTACACGACGGTAGACATATTGGGCGGTATCTGCTTGGTGATCAAGGGTACCCCCTTCTCCCTTGGCTCATGACTCCTTTCGGCCGGTTTGCTGTGACGTCAGCGGATCATGCCTTCGACGTGAGTCAGAGTGCAGCAAGGTCGTGCATCGAGCGGACATTTGGTCGTTTGAAAGCGGTATGGAGGAACTTCATTCGCAGACACATTTGCAACTTGAAGACTGTCTGCAAAGAGTTCATGGTCGTGTGCATTCTTCACAACCTCATGATTGACCACGGCGTGGAGATCGACCCGACATTGCCGGACTTGAACATCGAGGCTGCGCCGGAGGATGACCCTACTTATGGGGGGGATCTCGCCAAACACGTCAGGGCAAGCCTGGTTGAGCACGTGCGGCACCACACTGCAGTCTACGGAGCTTCGGCGCCATGCCCGTGGCGGTAGTGGTGTTCTGTCGACATAAAAGTCGCACGTGCTCAACCAGGCTGATGCTGATGGTCGATTATCCACATCATTTGGGGAGATGGTGATAGGGTCGAAGAAGAGCTTGCTGTAGCTGATGGTCGATCATCCACAGCGGTGTGTTCGTAGAGAAGTCGTGTGTGTGTCATTTACGTCGTTCGTAGATCCTGTCGGGTTGATAGGAGTGTAGTCTTCGTTAGACGCAACGGAAGATTGTGTCCGGGACGGGGGGGTTTGAAAACCCGTCGGTGCGAATTTCATGGTCGTTGTGCTTCGTAATTATAATTGGTAAACACTTTTGTTGGTTGTCTTCATTCGCAGTCGGTCATGATGTTTGTCCGTTTCGTCATTTAATATTTGTTCAGCCATGCATATGAACACATATATCAAAGCATTTGATGTCAGTCAACACAGAGAGGGTARAGCATTCCTTTGAT